GCACCTTCTTCGTGTACTTTTACAATATCTTTGTTGGAAAACAATGAGTTATTACCAAACACAATCCGTTGCACCTGCAAAACGGATTCAAATAAAAAAAATGAAGAAGACTATTAGACCCAATGACGTCAAAGGTCTGTTCCCAGAGGAGTTTCTAACAGTTTGCAACCTGTCAGAAACAATCACTCAACTGAGTTACAGATTTATCTTGTAACGACAGCATTGAAAACATGTATGAGTATGAACGATGCTTAACGACAGTTTGCAAACTGTCAAAAACTCCTGTGGAAAAAGACCTCAGAACACAGATAGACGAATCATCCCATTCATAAACTGATATTTGTTGCGTTGACAAGACCACCCATGGGCCAGGGGAGGTGAGTTACTCGCGGGGTCGGGGTGGCGAGACATCATTGCTCAAAATGGCGTAAAAAAACCCTGCCCACACGTGAATATAGGCCTGTTCGCACAGAAATCACCAACCAGTCAGAGCGACTTTCATTGGTTGAAACTAGTTTTCTGACTATTTCTGTTTCCATCCAATGAGATTCGCTCTGACTGGTTTGTGATTGCTGTGCGAACGGCCTAATATCTCAATCTCAAATAAAATGACAATTTCACAAATAAACTGAAAATATTTGATATGAGCACTTTATTCTAGGAGTACCAATATTGTATTGGTCGTTTCTTGTTTAACGCTAATGGATAATTTCTGTGTGCGATAAAGATAGCTAGCCACTCGGCTAGCCACTACTCCAACCAACACCTGCCTGCCATCGAACAAGCCGTGTCTGGGCGGCGGCGTTTTGCTACAATCCACTGTTGCCAACTTGAGTTCAGAAATAAAATTGAAAACGTTAATTGGAAAAGGATGAAAATTCAGGGCATTCTCAGTGGTAGGGCTAGCACAAAGGCCCAAAAGAAACAGAGAGATGTCATACGAAAATTTTGTTTATTGTTCGGTCTAACTGTGTTTTGATGTCATTGATTAGACCTAATTTTTGTATTTTCTCATGCCGCCTCTTCATTATTGAAAATACAATTTTCTGGACAAGCTTTCAGTTTTCCGCCCACCATTTTGTTATTAATTTTAATTTATTTAGATTATTATTATAATCTTGTTAAGCATAAAATTTCTTGTTATTTGATACCACAACTTATTTTGGTCGTGACACTGTTTTTTTTGCATTTAGCGCTTCCTTCACCCACCTTTCCTAATATTTTAGATGTGTACAGTATTCATACAAAAAACTAATGATGAGCGATATATTACGAACTGTGATTTAATCACTGATATTTAAAAATCACGGATCACGACCGTTACCAAAGTTCTATAAAAAGCGTGACGTGATCACGACAACGTAGCAAACTAATTTCTTATCTATTAGAGTATCTAACCTTATCCACATAAACCAGCACTGTGTGGGCGGGCCTTTAGTTTCAGACTAAGGGATTTCGGCCCTTACCAGTTTAACGGTAGTTTTGTTATCAATTTTTTAAATATTTAAGTGGATACTACTTTATCAAATATTTGCTTTGTTTGATTTTCATCGTGATTTGATAATTTTGCGTTTTAAATGGCATCCTACTTTATCTTACCCATTTGGGGTTTTTGCAAACGTATACTACTTTATTGTTGTGTTTGTCTTACTCACATATAATTAACAAATAAACATTTTTTCATTAAAATTAAAATAAAAACAAGTTTCCAAGACCTTATTTGGGAAATTTATTGTTGTTATTATTTAATTATTCAACTGGTTTTAATTAAATTAAACCATTTAAAATGTCATTATTGTCATGCGGCAACGTCGCTTTTAGTCGGCTATTTTGCAGTGACGTGTTTACGTTTTTATCCAGTTTTTCCTTGAATTGTCCATTTTTCCAGGGCGTTTTAAGTCGGAAAAACTGGTTTAAATTACGAGGTTACGAGTTTTTTTCATTTAATGCAAAAAATTTCCAGTTTTCCAATAGGGTAAGTGACAAAAACTCAAGTCTCATTAAGTAGGTGCTAAAATGTTCTTTTTAGAGGTTTTTCTTTGGATTTTCCGCTTTTCCAAAGCTTATTCAATTAGGAGAACGGATTTTAAATATGAGGCTTTAAGTTTTTTCCATTTTCTACCAAAAATTTCCAGTTTTCCAATGAGGTTAGTGACTAAAATTTAAGTTTCATCAAGTAGGCTTTGAAATGTCTTTTTCAGAGGTTTTTCTTTGAATTTTTCGCTTTTCCAAGGCTTTTTCGGTCTGGAAAACCGAGGCTTTGAGTTTTCTTCATTTTCTAGCACAAATTTATATTTTTAAATGCAATAATAGATCTTATCAAGGTCCAAAACGCGCTTGCGCGTCAAATAAGTGGGGTTATGTTGGCTATTTGTTTTGCGGTCCAAAAAGCATAGCAAGTATTATAAAAAAGTTGTAATTAATACCTTTTTCAAATTAAAATGGCCCAAATGCCTTTTGAAAGAGTTAAATTATCAGCAGCATGTGCCGGATGCAATTTTACGTAATGAGTTTGTAGATAAAAATAGCGTATTAGAACTTAAAAGGAATTTACGTTGAAGACGTGGCCAGGGAAAGCCGTAAAAAATTAATCCCTCGGAGTATCCGGGTCGTCCAACTCTGCTGTCACTATTACACTTTCCAAAAACACAATATTTGTGTGCCCCATCACTTTTACTAATTTTTAAACAGGTTTTTCCAATATTTCTCCATGCAAAAACGTATAACATGGACCGCAAAACAATAATCAGCTGATTGAAGAAATGACAGTGAAATTGTGCGATCTTGCCGGCTTGTACAAATTGAAGCGCGTTAGGTTTGAAAAAAAAAAACTTTACAAAATGACCATCAATATATCTTTTCAATAAATAGCTTGAGTCCTCGGCTGCATCAAATATTAGGTTAATCAATAATAAACAAATTGAATCTCAGTTCTAATGAAATCGAAATTATTCATGATTCTTTCCTGTATAGCGTGATAGAAACCGACACTTGGCAACAATTTTTTGCGCATGCGTAACAGAATTATTCTAATTTGAAAAGGTCTATTAGGAAAATCCCATTTAAATGCTTTTTCTGGAAGTTTTGATGTGGCAACATCGCAACATCGTTTGTAGCCAACTTCAATCATGTAAACCTTGTAATAAATGTCATTTGTCAATTTGGAAAGTCGACCATTTTGAGTGTATTTATCCATGTTTTTCCCCGAAATTTCCGCTTTTTCAGGCCGTTCTAAAACGGAAAAAATGGTTTAAAGTACGCGACTTTGAGTTTCCTTCATTTTGTGCCAAAAATTTTTAGTTTTCCGATAGGGTAAGTAACAGAAACTCCAATTTCATCAAGTAGGCTTTAGAATAACTTTTTCAAAAGATTTTGATTGGATTTTCTGCTTCTTCAGGGCTTTTTGGTTCGGGAAAACCGATTTTAAGTACGAGGCTTTGAGTTTTCTTCATTTTGTGCCAAAATTTCCAATTTCCCAATGGGGTAAGTGACAAAAACTCAAGTTTCATCAAGTAGGTTTTGGAATGTCCTTTTCAGAGGTTTTTCTTTGGATTTTCCGCTTTTCCAGGCCGGGAAAACCGATTTAAAGTACGAGGCTTTGAATTTCCTTCATTTTGTGCCAAAAATTTTCAGTTTTCCAATAGGGTAAGTAATAAAAACTGAAATTTCATCAAGTAGGCTTTAGAATGTCTTTTTCAAAACATTTTGTTTGGATTTTCTGTTTTTCCAGGGCTTTTTGGATCGGGAAAACCGATTTTAAGTACGAGGCTTTGAGTTTTTTTCATTTTGTATCAAAAATGTTCAGTTTTCCAATGGGGTAAGTGACAAAAACTCAAGTTTCATAAGTTTCATCAAGTAGGCTTTGGAATGTCCTTTTCAGAGGTTTTTCTTTGGATTTTCTGCTTTTCCAGGCCAGGAAAACCGAAGCACGAGGCTTTGAATTTCCTTCATTTTCATCCTATTATAGGCTGCTACATTTTTACTGAATCTGATACAATTTATCTTCAATTTTGATGCAAAAAATTTTTGCTCTTTGGCAACACTGATATTGACAAGTCTTGAGCAATTGCCCATATCTTTGTTGAATTTTAAGCAAATTGAAATTAATTATATATTAAAAGAGCATTAAATTCTCTATAAATCCGTACAAAATTGAGTTTGATAGTTCAAATATTTTTTGAGCAATTGAGCCTCAAAGTGAATTTCAAATCCAAATTTTGTCAGAAACTTCAAACTAAATTTGCTCAAAAACTAGAAACCTAGGAATATTGTAAATTACTGGGCTTTTAGAGCTTCTTAGGAGCTACAAATGCTGAAAATTTCAATGAAATTTGTTTAACGGTTACCAAACAATTGAGATTTGAATATTTTGAAATCAGAATTCAAAAGGGTGCCCTTATGAAAAATTCGATTTTTTTATTTTTCGGTTTTGCTCAATTTTGACTTTACGAGTCGATAGAGTCGGTGAAAAACAACCCTGACGTCATTTTCAAATGACTATTTCAAGCAAAAACACTCTGGATAATTTTTTAAATCTTAACATGGTCATGAGCAATTGCCCATATCTTTGTTATATTTCGAGCAAATTGGAATAAATTATATTATATACCATTGGAAAGAGCATAGAATTCTCTATAAATAAAGGCATTGGCTTAAATATAATCAAACAGCCTGTACTAATTCATATTTGTCATATTTTGATATTTGGACTGTGCAAAAAAAATTTCAATAATTATTATTTGAAGAAAATCAAGAAACTTTAGGTACTCAAAATACTTCAAGCAAAATACTTGATATAATCAGATAAAAATCCAAGTATTTTAGAATAGATATTGGAAATACAAGTACAAGTGTACACAAAGGAAATAATTCAAGTAAAATACTTAAAGTACTTGAAGTAGAATTTCAAGTAATTTACTTTAAATATTCACAGCTCTGATCCAAATCTTTGAATTTTCTTTATTGAGAAAAGAAAAAGACAAAAAACCTATAGAGCCCTGGAATTATTGACAAAAATTCAGACACAAAGAGGAAATCAAAAAAGCATACAAATTCTATTTCCGGTACTCCTACTAATCCCAAAAATTAAACTAAAAAAGTGAATTCAAAAAGCTTATATTTGACCCTCACAGGGTAAATTTTTAATAGGAAAATTAATCAAATCCTGCAAAGGCATCAAATTCCTATTCTTCGCGCTTCTAAGTCAAACATATCACAGTCTTAACCTCACCCTAACTTTTCTTTTTCATAGTACAATATATTATTATAATGTGAATTTAGATTACTTTACATCGTTAGCACCAGTTATCCAATTGAAAACGTAATTTTTCGCATCAATAAAATGCAACTCCGTAATGCAAATGACAGAAAACAAGATTCCGTAGCCCAAATATTGCAAGTAACACAAAAATTCCCACAGTTTATCGCAAAATATTGCCATCAGTAAACAATGAAGCATATTGTGTATGTTGACTACTCGCCACATCCAGCAAATTGTATAGAAAAAGCTACTAGTCATTATATCATTTTGCCGTCCATATAAATTAGCATTGTCACGTTCCAACAAGTCTTGATACAAAGCTATATATCGGTTCCAAGCAGCTGAACTGATAATCAATTGAATAGTGAAAAACCCTAGTTTTTTCACAATTTTTCTCATTGCCACTTTGCGGCATAGTTTATCATTTGAGTCAGCTGGCAATTGCATATAACCCCTTCTAGGAGGATTATTTTTAAAATAAATCCAAATTCCGATGACTAGAGCGGTGCACCCTAGTGCATCACAAATGCCATCAATGTAAAAACCTTGAGTACCAATTTCAGAATGTTCTCCTTTTATATGCTTTCGTACTCGGGCCACGTGACCGTCTAAATCGTCCAGCCACGTTCTGAGTTCAAATAGAATAACACCAATACGTCTGTATGCTAAATTACCACTGGAAATGCATTTAGCACTCAATATAGCCACAAATACATGAAAAAAGCTAATAGAGTTTGGAGTGATAAGCTTGATATCGGAAATGTGCATTAAATTATCAACTATTGTAACTAGTGGGGCTAGCAAGTAATAATTTGTGTGATCTAACAAAACTGCTTTTACAGTAACTTCACATAAAGGGTTTATGTCGCATTTTATCCAAGTAACATCCTTATATTCTTCTGCACTATTATTAAATCTTAAATCGTTATTAATGGGATAATTATTAATGCGCACGTATAAATTATAATCCATGTAAGCGTAGTAGATAAGCATTAGGCATAGTAAGCCTACTAGGATTTTGCTTATTTGTGATGAAGGCCCAATCATTATAGTAGGTATGTTTTTTCAGGCAAGAAAATCCAACGAAATGTAATTCGTGGACGGATTTGGACTCTGCTCAGTCTTGTTCGGGAGGCTACTTACTGCGGTCTTTGTTTTTTGGCTAGTGTTTGAACATCGTTGGCAAGATTTTGTTTCGGTTGCTGAAAATAAAGAAAAATCATTAGTTAAATGTTGGAAATGAATTTATAATTAAAAAGAAACTAACCCAAAAGTCGAGGGTAAAAAGGTGATAACAAGTAAATAGGTAAATTCACACTTGCTGATGGAAACCTCTACACAAATCCACTGCTACTTCAAAATGAATCACAAATGGACCTTAACAACATTAAAGCATTGATACATGAGTGGAAAGTGCCTCTAAACTGAGAGATTTATAAATGCACTGTCCAATATATTGGTCAAAACAATCCCAAATTCAATTATTTCTTTGAAAAAACAGAAATCAATACATATATCACATAAATGTCCAAAAAGACTGATTCACTGATCTTAGGTCAAGTGGTGTAAAAATGAGGTATAAAAGATTTTGGGTAAAATACTGAAAAAAAAAATCGCATGAAAGGTGTCAGGTCAGATGTCAAGCAAAAACAGGTAACAAAGTTTTTAGGCGTGATCGGCTCTTATTCACATGAAATAAAATTGTGTTTTATTTTTTATTATAAAACGCCAGTAGAGAATAGTATATTATATACCTAGGTAGAGAAGTTGGTCATTATATATTGAAAGCTTTTATAAACCGAGGCGCGCAGCGCCGAGGTTTATAATGCTTGAGGTATATAATGACTTTCTCTACCGAGGAATATATAGAATTTTTTTTACTACTGCTAGTAGAAAATAAAAAATTTGTTTAATATCTGTGTTCTAATTATTTTTTGTGAACGCCCTCTATCAACAGCTTATATAACTTCCTATGTACCTTCAGAAACCTGTATTTTTTTTCAAATTGACGTATAAAATTGAAATTGAACCAATAGAAACATGACAATATCCTTGTGTCATGACGTCATTTTCATTATTGACCTAGGTATTTTTTCATTATTTTCATTATTAACCTAGGGAGAGAAATTCAATTTTTTCTTAGAAAAATAGATTGAATAATGTCTATTTCTCAGGTTAGTAGTAAAAAAATTTTTGTATACAACACGTTAGGAAACGATGTTTTTTAGAGTCACTCGACGTGTTGTCCAACTGGGCTTTGCATTGTTGGATAATTTTCACGTCAGGTGCCTAAATTTTCTGTTGAATAACAATGGTAACTCGAGGATTAGTTATAAAAATCTGGATTAGATATAGTTTTCTTATGCACCGCAAAAAAAAATCGGTTTAAGCTTCAAATTATCTAATCAGTTAACGATGCGTGGATTATTTCGACAATAAATTTTCACTTGTTTTTTCAAAGATTTCGACTTACGAAACCTACAGATCCCAACTTCCTGTAGAACATAGAAGAAATTAAATTCCAAAATGATTTATCACTTGATAGATAAAAGAAGGTATATGTGGGTTCTAACAGACATTTAATTCAATTTAGCATTTATTATAATTTAATTTAAAAAGTTTACTATACAATACCATATGACGGCGTTCATACAAAATTTTAATTTAAGACATAATATAACTTAATTTAAAAGTTGGCCAACTTTTATCTTTCAAAATTAAGGCCTCAACGGCCCCCTCTTCAAATTATATTTTACTTCTAAAAAAAAATTATAGATGGCGCCAAGATGAAAGCATTTTTACAGTGGAGCATTTTAAATATTATAGCGATTTCAATTTGCAGAATCAGTGCAACTTTTTTTACTCAGTTCGCACTGATTAACTAATGAGATTATGGAGGAATTTGTATTTCCATGCCTGGCCTGGTATGACTTCAAATTTTGTTCTACTTTGTAAAAGTGATGTTTTGTTGTAGAGCTTGTTTTTGAGGTATGTTTAGTTGTGGTAGGTACCTATGAGATTTTCAGGAAGCAATTGGCACATGAATGGGTTTACAAATAGAGGAATACAACTAAACGTAGAACTAATGCAAAACCTTGGTTCAACAGCCAGTGTCAAACGGCTGTACAGAAAAAACACAGAGCATATAACCTTTGGAAACGACAACAAACCGCTCAAAACCACACAGAATTTATAGAAGCCAGAAATAGTTGCAAAATTACTATTGACTCCGCTAAAGAAAAATACAATCAAAGAATAAAAAACAGGTTGCTGAATTGTCCAAGTAGTTCTAGGTCTTTTTGGTCTCTTGCAAAAGCTGTTGGATCTAACTTCACCAAGTCATCCATACCACCACTTACAGATAAAAATAATCACTTAGCCACAACATCAGAGGAAAAAGCCAATATGCTTGCCCAAATGTTTTCCTCCAACTCCAACCTAACAGTGCCAAACGGAAAAACTCCACCATTCATTGAAAGGGTTTCCCATAGTATGCCAGAGGTACCCTTTTGTCACAGAGAAATACGAAAATCCCTTAAAAAGCTAGATACAAGCAAAGCAATGGGTCCGGATGGCATTCCCGCAATAGTACTCAAAAATTGCGCCAACGAACTCACCCCAACTTTCGCAAAATTATTCAATTTGTCTTACAGGCAAGGAGTATATCCATCATCATGGAAGTCTGCCGCAGTACAACCCATTCCAAAGAAAGGAAAAAAGACAGATCCGTTAAACTATAGACCAATTGCTCTACTTCCGGTGATATCAAAAGTAATAGAAAGAGTTGTGAACAGTCACCTAACCAAGTACTTGGAAAAGTACAAAATTATCAACGACAAGCAATACGGATTTCGAAAATATAGGTCAACTGGCGATTTACTTACATACGTCACTCACTTATGGCAAAAAGCGATTGAGTTACGGGGTGAAACAAGAACAATTGCCTTAGATATATCTAAAGCATTCGACAAAGTTTGGCATGAAAATCTGCTCAACAAGCTCAAAGCAATGGGATTATCGCCGAAACTTTGCACTTGGTTTGAAAGTAACCTAAAGGACAGATCCATTTATGTTGCACTGGATGGCCAGAACTCCAACTCTTACCAAATAAATGCTGGTGTGCCACAGGGAGCAATCCTTTCGCCAACTCTTTTTCTGATTTACATAAATGACCTCATAGATAAAACAGTAAATCCACTTTATTGCTTTGCAGACGATGGCAATGTAGTCTCCTCACTCATGCCACCCTGTAGTGTGTAACATCCTGTAGTTACAATAGGGTTTCACACCCTATACATTATGTAGCAATTGTATGTTTAACATTCAAATATAAATATGTATAATTAATAATAGGCAATATTGCTTATGATGAGTTTTAAAGATAACTAGGTTAATTAGAATAAACATGCCGTCAAAAGAGGGCATATAGTTTTTGACGATTGTATTAATGTCTTCGAACTAATAAACATAAGTTGGGTTTTGTAAAAACCTTGTGTTTGATTTAAAAGTATCAAGATAACCCTGCAAGGTTATCACATGGCGATCCTGCCAATCGAATTATGGTTCTAAATGGTATGGTTGAAGGGAAAAACTAAGTAGAGCTGGGAAGTATTGGGAATTTGGAAACCGAAAAGGCTAGAAAGCACAAAAACCATGGGAAATCAAAAAACTAAAGAGGTCAAGGAAGAAGTCATAATAGCCCAGGCAGGCAATAGTGGAGGAATAACGGATACTACAAGTCAAGCGGTAACATTAACTAGGGACGTTTTGGTTTTGATTATTTTAGGTCTGGCAATTATTGGTATAGGCATACTTTGCTATATAAGATGTAAGAAACAACTGGAGAGGAAAATTAGACGGGAAATATCTAAAAGCACCGATCGAGTTTAAATTGGATATATGGAAATGGATATGATATGGTGGATGAAAAAGAATTTCGTTACTTATTAGAGGAATTAAAAGTATTTTATAGAAATCTAAACAAAGACTCCCAGGAAAGAAGAGAAAATGTTAGTGTAATTAGACGTAAGTTAGAAAAAATTAATAAATTAGAATTAGAATTTAAAAATTTGAGAGATAACTTCAATACTAGTAGGCAAGAGGCTGATACTATAAAACAAGTCAAGCTACAGGTAGATGGCATAGTAAAATATTTTGAGACGATAAAATCGATTTTAGATGATAGGTTAGAAAGTTCAGAGCAGATAATAAATATAGAAACCATGGCGGGAAAGTTTGATTTACGCACCGCTGCTAGTTTATTACCTGCTATGGATGGTTCTGAAAATGGGACGAAGTTGCTTGTTGATGCCATTGAGTTGTATGACTCGTTGTTAGACAATGATGGTAAAAAACTACTAACTCTCTACGTTTTGAAAACTCGTCTAACGAAGAGCGCAAAAATTAGATTGAAAGACGAGTACGACAATAACCAATTACTTATTGCTGATATTAAAACACACTTTTTGACAAAAAGGTCTGCTACAACTTTATCTTCAAAGCTGAGCAATGCTAGGCAAGGCTCTAAATCCCTGGACGAGTTTGGTAAAAACGTAGAAGAGTTGTTAGTTGATTTAACCATAACACAGGCTGATGGTAACGCCAATGCAGTCGGAATTTTGAGAAATGTTAATGAAAAAATTGCCATTAACACTTTTGCCAACGGTCTGCAAAATCCCGAATTGCGAACTATTATCAAGGCTAGAAATTATTCGACATTAAATGAGGCAATACGCGGCGCCAAAGATGAGGAGCTACCAAATCAAAATAAAATTTTTCATTTTCGCGGGCACGGCCGTGGAAATTACAGGGGCACTTTTAACAATTACAATAGAAACCCTCACAACCGTGGCTCCTTCAACAACCATTTTAATAAAAATTCCTACAACAGCCGGGGATCATCTACTAAAAATCCAAATAGGGGAGGTTTTAATTCGAGACAATCTTCTCAACGAAACAATGGCATTAATAGGGGAAGTTTCAATAGATACAATTCTCAAAATAGGAATAACAACAATAATTATTCCCAACGAACTTTTTACATGCAAAATGACCAAGAAAACACTGATATCGTAAATAGTACTTCAACATTTTTTCGTGGCCCATCAGGAACAAATTAGTAATGATTCTGCAATCATATTAAATTTAAATGGCTTAAATTACGTTAAATTTACTTATAACGATGAACAATTATTTTTCTTAC